ATTTGTGGTTTCTCGATTCTCTCTTTTTTAACCCGAGTTTCGTTGCTTTCGGTTTTAATCTACATTATTGTATTTTCCTTTTATTGATCTTTTTGTGGTTTGGTTTTACGGGATCTCTGCTTTGAAGGCAAATCTATCATGTCTTTCCAATTTGTAAACAAAGGTGCCTCTATTTACTTGTTTTCGGTTGGTTTACCTCTTTAAAATGTCTTGTATCTTTTTTTATTTTCTTCTTTGTTTTATGGTAATAAAACAAGGGAAATGCAAAGTAAATAGCATTATGAATACGAGTTTTTATACGTTTCAAATGTTGAAGAGCTAGTAAGGATGTTTGAGTTTTTATCTCCGGTCACTTTGTTCGGTTAAATGTATTGTCAAGCATGCTGCAATTTCTATTATTTTTCTCGTTCATCTCAAGCAACATGCATCATAGCTATTTTCTATTTGACTAAAACATGTATTATCTATTTCCCCGGTTCGCAATAAATTAATTTGCCTACCGGCTCGCACTTGCGAGATGAAATACCATTAAAGTTCACCTAAGTTAGACAGTCGCAAGGCATTAAAGGAGGAGTGCGGAATTACTATTAGATGTAAGACCCAAATGTTGATGATCTAAAAATAGTTCTAGAAGGCAAAGAGTTTTCATCTTAATTTTTTATATTTCCTCGTGTAATTTAGATATGTTTTGCTTATCTCTTTCATTTTAATATTTTTGCTTGAAATGTAGTTCTCTTTACTTTTCACTTGTGTTCTATGCTAAGATTGTCGGTTTTCATTCCGAGCATGTTCTTATCTTAAGCTCGACTTTGAAGATGAGGGTGCCAAGGTTCCAAATATTACGTCGGATCAATATGTTGGTCGTTGTTCGGGAGGTTATATATGGAACCCTTTCCAAAGCCGAAAGTTGAAGATAGTCACGGTAATGATATAACTTGAAGCCAAAAGACATCAAGTTAAGTCGAATTATTCTTTAAAGTGTTTCATTTCACGTGTTGTCGGCTAAATGCGGATCAAGTGGCTACATCTTCTACCCCTTAGAGATCCGAGTTTTCAATAATTGACATTCGGTATGCTACTTTTGGATCAAATATGTGGAAGTCTAGATTCCTATGTTATATTGAAGGCGGTTTGGTAATATGCTTGGCATCATAATGATGTTACCACACTAAATGAACATGATTTTAACATATTCAAAGCATTTTTTAGGTTAACGGGAAGATTTTGTTTAACATCTTTTTCATTGTTCTTTCTCGGTGGAAAGGCAACAACTTTATATACAAATGGCATGCTAGCTAGGCAAAGAAAGTTTATAAAATGCCGACTAGACTAACTAACAATAACTAACTGCCGATTGTCGAAACAAAAATAAATAACTCGCTAAAACAAATTATTAGACTAACTAACTAACAATTTAGGAGTATCTAAACTAACTACTCGGTGTACAAAAGAGATATATATATATAATCGCTAATACCCCCTCAAGGTGGAATGTACACATTGTGGATGCACGACTTGGAGATAGAGCTACGAAAGAGTGAGACGAGCAGAGGTTTGGTGAAGTAATTGGCGAATTGATGAGTGGAAGAAACGAAAGGTTGATGATGCTTGTTTGAACCTTCTTGCGGAAAATATGGCAATCAAGCTCAATATGTTTGGTACGTTCATGAAACATAGGATTTGCAACAATATGAAGAGCTTATTGATTGTCACAAAATAAAAAGGTAGAGGTAGAATGAGAAATAGCAAGATCACACAACGAGTTAAAGCCGTCGTTGTAGCTCATAAATGGCTAGAGCAAGGGCATGATATTTTACCTCTAAAGTGGACTTAGATACGATGGCTCGTTTCTTGGATTTCTAGGAGACAAGGGAAGATCTCAAAAACATACAATATCACGTGATAGATTTTCTAGTGCACGGGAAATTTTCCCGGTCGAGTCGGAAAATCCTTGAAGTTGCAAGGAACTAGTAACGAGAGAAGAACAAACCTTAGCCTAAAGTAGCCTTGATGTAATGAAGAAGTCTATAAACAACCTTCATGTCATTCTCAATAGGAAAATCAAGAAATTGTGAAAATTGTTGTACGAGTGAAGACAATATCGAGTCCGGTTATGGTTAAGAAAAACAACTTGACAACAAGGATGCAATATGATCAACTAGGGAAGGACTATCATCTTTGCATAATTTGTGAGCTGGAATCATTAGATTACAAGCGAGGATTTGAAGTAATGAATCCCGAGTCTCAAAGTAATTCAAATGCATACTTTATCTAACACAAATTTATTCCCTTAGAAGATCTAGCAACTTCAAGACCCAAGAAAAATTGAGAGGACTTAAATCCTTGATTTTAAACTAATTGTGGAGGAAGGATTTAAGGTGAGTAATCCGGTCCATATTGCTATTGGCTAATATCATATCATTCACGTAAATTGGTAAAGCAATGAACCGAGAATCAGAATTCTTAACAAAAAAAGAATGATCTACATAAACTTGGAAGAAACCTTGAGCAAGCAATGCATTAGAAAGCCTTGCAAACCATTGTCTACTAGCTTGTTTCAAGCCATAGAGAGATTTAAGAAGCTTACAAACCTTAGTAGAACTAGGAGCTCGTGAAACCAAGAGGAATGCACATATAAACTTCTTTAGTTAAATCCCCATGTAAGAAGGCTTTATTAATGTCAAGTCTGTTCCAAATGCCAATGTTTGATAGCAACAACTGCTAGGAGTGTTCGAATTGTGGCCATTTTTGCAATTAGACTAAAAGTGTCTAAGTAATCAATACCGGACTTCTATGTGTAACCCTTAGCAACCAAACGAGCTTTAAATCTTTCAATGGTTCCATCTGATTTATATTTGATCCCGTAAACCCACTTATATCCAATGGGTGTCTTACCTATAGGCAAATCTATCAATTCTCGTGTCTTGTTATCTTAAAGAGCTTTCAATTCGGTTTGCATAGCAACTCTCCAACACTCATGCTTAACAACCTCAAAATAAGTTTAGGGTTCTAAAATATGGCTAACATTAATAGAAAATGTGTGATGAGAAGGGCTAAGATTCGAATAGGATAAAACATGGGCAAAAACATGAGGGGAAGTACTCGATTGTGTGACGGAACCTACTTGTTGAAGGATGATTGGTATGATTTGGAGATATAGGAATGGTATAATGATCATATGCTTGAAGATAAATAGGAATATGTTTTGTGCGTGAAGATTTTCAAATTGGTTAGAGAGAAGAATCATGAGGAGAAGAATTAGGAAGTATTAAAGGGGAGGAAACAACAAAGGAGAAGAAATGTTGAAAGATGGTAAGTCAACTAGAAAAATCGAAGGATATGCGGTAGGCAAAACGAGTGTACGGGGAAAAAGAAGGAATATTAGATTTCATGGGAAAAAAGAAGCTGGTGAGTAGTGAGATTGTAGAGCTTGACTTGAGTGTAGTATTGTGTTACAAAGTGAGTTCCTTGATGAAAAAAAGATATTTCATCTTGTAATTATGCAATTCTAAAAGAATCTACATGAGAGAATCTCTCCTTCAAGTCATTCCAAACTTCGATTGATGTATTTAACCAAAGAATGTTGCGTGCAATTCAAAGAGAAATTAAGTTAATTATTCACGAAAGTACCATTGTATTACACCTTTTCCAACTAGCGTATGAAAGATCCGTATTTGCGAAGCCGAAATAGAATTGTCAATGAACTTATACGTGTTCTTTGACAACAACACCATCTTCATGGATCTTGACCACGAGTGATAATTGGAGTTAGTGAGTACAAGTGAAACAAGAAACGGTGAAGGATTTTCATTCCTATGTAGAAAATACGGATTGAAAGGTTGATCTTTAGTTCTTGAAATAGAACTCGTGAATTGATTCTCTGCCATTTATATGTAAAGTAGAAATCGATCTATTAATTTCTCAAAGAAAATGAAGAGAGAAACAAAACGCAAACAATGTTTGTTTCTTGAGAAAATATTAAGACGAAAGAAAATTTTCGAGTTAAAGACGAGAGAAAACGAAAAAAGAAGCTCGATACCATAACCGAAGATTTTGTTTAATAGCTTTTTCATTGTTATTTCTCAATGGAAAGGCAATGACTTTATATACAAGTGGCATGCCAGCTAGGCAAAGAAAGTTTATAAAATGCCAGCTAGACTAACTAACTAACAATTTAGGAGTATCTAAACTAACTGCTGGTGTACAAAAGAGCTATATATATATATAATCACTAATATAGGTTTTGGTCCTCTCCATTGGCATTCATTTTATAGCTATTGCAATTAATATCCCGAAAATTTGAAAGGGTCCACCCGCTTTAGCATTTATCAATTCTATTTTGTAAATGACTTTCAGGTAGACGTTATGAAGAGGCCATGTTCTGGTTCAATGGACAGAAACCGCCAAAAGAGATTTTGTGGAAAATTTTCCCACACAGACTATTCTTTGGTTGTGATTCTACACATACATGGGGTCCTAGAGGAGCTGCTTCCCTTCATCCTGAAAGTAGTGTTGATGAAAAAACTTAATTGTGCCTGTATAGAATAACGTATGTTCCAGTGGGTTTTTATTGGTCTAATGTATATTTCTTCCTCTCAATGTTTTGAAGAAAGTCATGGTCTTTGTTGGAAAATTTTTAGTATAATAAAAAGGCAATTCATGAAAATGATATAGGGTCATTCAACTGGCTTGAGTTTCTTCATTATCCAATATATTTGTCTTCTCACTTGCTTGCTTTCCTTCTTTTTCATAGTTCCCTTTTCTGCACAGGCTAGAGCAGTTCAATGATGTTTTGCTTCAAGAAATGTTTCGAGTTATAAGATGACTTCACCTGTATTAGATTTGGCTGCACTAAGTCCATCACAAACCATTTAGTAACAAAATCACAAAAAAGTTCATCACTAGAGCCTATAACTTACTCCCATCGCTAATGCTGAACTAAGGTTGAATTCGAATGCACCAAGAGCTTATTTGGATATTTTTCTTCTACATATATGTAGTCAATGTTCAATTGATGTTCGAGAGCGAATGGGAACTACCCTGCTGGCAGCTGCACGGGAGCGTGGAAAGGAGAGTGATTGCTCGAACCATGGAACTTTCGAATCTGTAACAAGACCAAGCTCCAAGTTCATGCAATTCTTATCTGGGTCTGGCGGGGGTTCCGAGCATGCATACTTATATGCAACACACCCATAAAAGCACAGGTTCAAGGAGCTTAGGCAAGCCAAGAGTAGAAAATATCTGTCCAGATGACACGTGTTTATGGTGTCATTAAACCAGAAGCCTCTGAACATGGAAATAAGCACAGCAGTCAGCACCTTTCCAAAACCGTGCCCACAATCCTTGAATGGCGAGTCGTAGTGTTCCATCCATTCATCAGTGTCCTGATACTTAAACATACTTACATCATTCATGAGCCCCTCCACAACTCCTAAGCAGATATACTGCGGAGCTAACCACAGAATGCTCATTGGTAGTGCTGTATCTTTTCCACATATGTGCACTAAATTAAATCTGCGAAGCTCACACTACATGGGGTCCTGGAGGAGTTGCTTTCCTTCATCCTGAAAGGAGCCATGTTCTGGTTCAATGAAAAAACTTACTTGACTTATGTTAACGGCAACACAGTATAGAAAACGCCATCCCAACTCCAATTCTTACAAGCATAGCTTGTTGCATTGGTTTATGCCACCACTTAGCTATTGACTTGTTGTAGAGGTATAGACCCGTGTAACTTACAAGATCCTGAATTAGAAAGAAAGCATTTATGGGCACAACTTCATCAAGATTTTCACTTTGCTTAACAAAAAAAGTGCTCCCCGTTGCCAGCACCAGACCAAATCCAAGGAGTGTTGTCCACATGGGGATCAAAGTAAATAGTTGCTTTACTCGTTTCACATCTCTTGCCGAGCAAAGTCTTCCTCCTTGTACCTGTTCTTCTAAGAGGGGTGAAGACTCTAAAATAGCAACTTTGTCCAACCATCTTCTCAGACCACATCAAAATTATAAAGAATCATTCAACTCATATTATAAACTTTGGCTTACGTTTAGTGGTATCGGGTTTGAGTTGGTTTAGTTTCAGAGACAGCCTAGTAGTCCACAGAAACTAGACATGTTCTGATGCTTGTCTAACCCGAAGAGTTGAAATTCTCCCACATCTCCTTCTCTCTCTAATTAAAAATAAAATTTTAGCCCAAGGTAAAGGAGCTTGTATATTACAGAGAGACACCAACCTGAAGATTCGAAGGTCTGGCAACAGGACTAGTTGATCCCTGTGTTATCATAGTAGTCATTGCGATCATTAGGGTACCGCAGGTGGAGCTTCATTATAGAGGCCTTGAAAACTCTATAAACAATGGTAAGAGGGCTTCCAGTTGGGTTTTCAAAGTAGTAAAAGCGGATTCCAGACCAAAAGATGAAATAATTAACTCCCATCGCTAATGCTGGAATGATGAAAATCATTTGCTCGGAATAACTTCCAGATATGATCACAGATGCAAAAGCACCCAACACCGAAGCAAGAAACCACCATACTTTTACACGAGCAGCAGCTTTGCAATCATCCTTGTAAACCTAAGTTTTATGCTCAACTAACTAATCGCTTAGAAATACTTTTAAAGGAGGATTATTACTTGCCTTGCCCATTGCTACTAGTACCATGATCACAATAATTGGTACATTAATGTTGGGGGCCAGTGTATTGGCAAACCAATTAGTAAGACACAGAAGCACCAATCCCTACAAACAAAATTAAGGATTTTTCATTTAGTTTCCAATTACAGTATCTATAATATTCTTCAGGAAAAAGGAAAAACTCAATTCTTTTAGAGTAAGTTATAACTTAGTCTACATGTTTTTGATGATTTTGCAGGTTAGCCTTCATGTCTCTTTAAAGAATAAATTAGTTTCTTGATCGAAATTGACTGTCAATTGTTTTGAGAATTTCCAAATTACCTTTTTTTTAATGTACTTTTAATTTTGTATGTAGTTGTTAATATTGAAAATTTTGAATATAAATAAAAAATATTTTAGAACAAAAATAATTGTGATGAAAAACCAACACAACGACTAAGTTTTAATCAAATATAAAAACTTAAGGATGTAGTATTATATTTTTTAAAACAAAGGGATTAACTAATTATTTCATTAAAAACACAAAGATCAATTGATAATTTACTCTCTCTCTCTTTTTTTTTTTTTTATGGTTTTCGGTTCATTCTTAAAATATCATTTTCTCGAAGTAATAAAATAATTGTGGCATGCATATGCTGTAAATGTAATACAAACACAAAAATATATAGTTTTAGCTGTGAAGATTTTTCAGAGAGCTCCTGAGATTTTCTTTTGTAGTTTTCTTTAAGAAGGATTATTTTTTTAGATGCAATCTCAATAGGTTTGTCTAGTACTTAAAGAGATTTTTTTTTCTTTCTTAATTTTTCATATTCGAATCTCAAGACCAACATTCGGAAAAATTTATTAAACTCTTCATAATGCACTAGATCGATGAGGAGGATTGATTCTTAAAATCGCTTGAGGCGAGACTTAGTCTCATTAAACGCACAACCTGACCGAAAATACCTTTACCATTCAAAAAAAAAAAAATTCTTAGCTGTCTTTATAATTTTTAGTTTGTGAATGTAAGGTAGTCCATTGAAAATTAATTTCCATAGGATAAATTTTTATTGAAGTTGAACTAATATTACTAATAATAGTGAAGTTTTATACATGAATAATGATTAGGCACTTAGCTAAACTGTGTTAAATTTCACTTGGCCTTTTTATTGGTGTTTGCTTCACTTGGAATTTAGCAAAATCTTAACGGTTTATAACATTATTATGTTCACATAATTTTCTTTGAGTCAATGAGTTGTTGTTCAATTGATACCAGTCTTTTCTTTCTTAAAAGACTTGGAGTTCGAATCTCTTCTTTATGCATATGTTTGTATGTACAAACCTTTTGATAAAGATGAATTTATTTACGTAGTTTTATATGTATACATATATGTTTATGTGGCAGTCTCTTCTCTTTTTTTAAAGTGGCCAAACTATGTATTATATGATGATGAACAATTTACGTAGAAATGTATATTATGTGCGTATCTATGTATTTATGATGCAAAACATTTCACGATTGTAAAATAATTTAATGAAAAAGAATAATATACTCAGCCAAAAAAGAAAAAAAATGCAAAAAATATTTTTCAAGTGAGAAATTTTAAAATTGCATTCTTACATATCTTTTAAGAAACAATTTTGATATACGAAACAAGATTAAAAAAAAAATGAAAGGAATGAGATTTTTTTTTCTTTTTTGAAAAAAGTAGAGAAATAAGATTTTATATAAGGTGGGAAAAGAAATACTAAAAAGAGAATGGTATGTGCAAGCATTATCATACATTTTAAATAAAAAAAACAGTTATATGAGTTTTTTATAACCTACTAAATATGAATTTATATCCAAAAATATTTTTAATTTAATATGTGTTATTATGACCGATGGTTATAAAATTTTAATGAAGTTTTATGTATTTAAACTACATCTATAAATTGGTGTGTTGATAATATGTTAGTGTGCGCAAGTAAAGAAAAGAGAAAATAAATATTAATTAATGGTTATTGATTAAATTGCATGATAATAACAATGATAATTAAAGGTGTTTGTAACCATTTGTATAGCCTAACTATTAAAAAAATATCCTCGTGTATAAAATATATTCCATGTGATTTTATAAAAACTAATCTTTGATTGTCGTTGTTGAGCATACTATAAAGTATACTTGTTCTACTCTAAGGTGTTATTTAGTAATAAAAAATAAAATGTTAGGAATAAAAATAAAAATTTTATTTCTACTTTATAAGTGTTTGGTTGACAATATAAAATAAGAACGAAAATAAACAATGAAAATGAGAGTATGAAAAGGGGAGAGAATAAAAACAAAAAATGTGAATGATATTTTTTTCACCAAAACAATGATATATTATTTTTATTTATCGTGTATTAATTATTTTTACCGCCTCCACCACCACTTGATCACTACCACTTGTCATTGGTGATGGTGATAAAAAAAATTTAAATAACTTTTAATATTATTAGTATTCTGTCACCACTTCTCTTTTACTTCCACTATTCTTTTATTATAACACCATAACAACATTTTTTTTATCGCCACCTCCTATTGTGGTAGTATCACATTTTTAAAAATATATGATTATTATTAATATATTGTTATTATTAACACCTTCTCCTTCTCTCCTACTAATCCATCATCACCACCACCACCATTACACTACTACCACAATTAATTCTATTACTTTTACTACCATCATAGTTGATAAAAAATAATAATAATAATCATTATTTTAAATTGTTTTAAAAACCAAATATTAAAAAATTAAAATTTCTTTCTAATTTTTTGTTACTATTTGAAGCATAGTATAAAAATACATTTTTTTTCATTTTTTTCTTAATTTTTATTTCAATTTTTACATTTATATTTTAGATTTTTTTATTCATGATAACCAAACAATGTCTAAAAAGATACTACTAGTGATATTTTATTATCACACTTGTTTAGTTAAAGTGAGAGTACTATACCAATCCTACTCACTTTATAAGTAGTTCAAGCTTATAAAGTTATGGCAAAGATGGTTGGACTATTACATCTACGAGATAGCTCGTAATATATAATTAATCTGTTATATTAGACAAATTCGCAAATGATGCATATCTTCAAAAAACAATTTGATTTATGCATTAATCTAGTCATCTTTATCTTGTTCAGTCACGATGATTTTGATAGTTCAATTCTTTTTATAAAATTGATCTGTTATATCGGATAAATTCTCCAATCAATGCATATCGTCTTCAAAAAACAATTTGGCTTATGCATTAATCTAGTCATCTTTATCTTGTTCGATCATGATGATTTTGATAGTTTAATCATTTTTATACCATGAAACTATGATAAGATAATTTAATTCATAATATTCTTAATATCAAGGTAAAAAATTTCAATTCTTTATCTATCTTAATTTATATTTATTTATTTATTATGTAATTTTTATTATTTAATTATTTTTTATTCTAAAAAAGTTACTAAGTAATATTTAAAAAATCTTCTAACTGAAAGGTGCCATTTGAAAATATAGATTTTTTAGTTTACGTGAGGAAATTTTTTTTCCTCTCAATAATGTTAATGATTTTGCACGTTTATGTACAGTGACATAAAAAACTGGATGTTGGATAAGTTCTACCACAGAAAGTAATGCTTTTTGAGATGGAGTTATGGAGGGAGAGAGAGGGAGAGAGAGAGTGTGTGTGATTTTGTTTAATAGTATGACAAAGCAATGCTACTTTAATTAATTAATTAATTATAGATCACTAAAAAATTAATGAACAGAATGTTGATGAGTGAAAACTCACAAAGAAATATGAAGCGATGCCATAAAGTACGACTTCAAAACGTCCTATGCATGTATCCGCCATGTGAGCAATTATAAGAGCACATATGAGTGACAAACCCTCCTGAATATTCACAATTGCTGCTGCTTCTAGGACCAATTTCCCAAGATCAGTGAGGTAAGCCATCAACGAAGACTCCATTGTATTTTCTACAACTTTATGGCTAAAAACCAAACCTATAAATTAAATTCATTAGTTGCAGGATTTAGGTAATGTTGTGAAAAGGAGATCATGGAGAGTACCTAAGATGAAGAAGGCGGCCATGCAAAAGTAGATGTTATATTTGACCTAGTAAACTACTGCATAGAAGAGCTTGTAAAGCAGTGTTTGAGGCCACAATTGAAGTTTAATATCTAACACAAATGCTGTTTCCATTTTGCTGCTTCGGTGCCAAAGGAATGCTTAATTTTACAAGTACATGAGCTTATATAGATAGATACTAGTCGGATACCCGCGTTATGCTACGAACGGACAATCGTTAAATACATAGGGTTAACGATTCGTATGGTATAATGCCAATAGAAAATTTTATTTTTTATGAGTAATATAAATCAAATCTATATATAGTTAATTTGTAATATATATATATATATATATAACGGATTGAGAGTATATACAAAAAAACCCACTTAAATTATAGAAATATATTGAAGCTAATAAATTAAAATAAAAACTACAACAAAATTAGTTCGATAAATTCTATATATATATATATATAAAAACAAATAAAACTTGTGAATTTTTTAACTCATTATTTAAAAAAAAAAAATTGAGTCAAACTATCTAAAACATACTTTTGAAGCTCTATATATATATATGTGTGTGTGTGTGTGTGTGTGTGTGTGTGTGTGTTAAAAAACAAAACACTCATTTTTAAAAATGTAAAAATAATTTATTGTATAAATTATAGTAATATATTTTTTAAAATAAAATATTGATGTTATAAAATTTTATCTCACAATTCATATATTGAAAAACCAAATTTATTAAGAAATAAAATTATATCAAAAAAAATATTAACAAATAAAATTATATCAAAAAATTATCAACCATTACAAATTTACAATAAAATTAAAAATTAAAAATGTTTCAAAATAGACATTGTAACCTAAAAATATATTTGTTAATCATGAGCCCTATATATGAAGGGGAGAAAAAAAAAAAGAATACCAACCTAGGCACCAAAGCTTGGCTATATGAGCAAAAAAAAAAAAAAAAAAAAGAGGAGGAGGGGGAAGGAGGCAGCCAAGGCTTAGCGCATGCTTGCCCAAGAGCCAGGCTTTGGCTGCTGGGCTGACTAGCAAGAAAAAAAGACAAAGAAAAGAAACAAAAACAAAAGAACTAGATATTGTTCATCACTATTCACTTACTGTAGATAGTACCCATATCTTTTAGTTATATTATAATTATAATATGATGAAGTTCAATTTGTTTGCACGATGTTTCCATGTTGCTAGCTACGCCTCTACATGTACAGCTACCAGGGGCGGACGCACCTTATGTCCAAAAGACCCCACACCCTCATAACAAACCAATTTTTCCCCTCCCAATTTTTTTTTCCTATATTAGTATAGGCCAAACCCAATCACTGCTAAACTCTTCGATTTGATCCAAAGTGCCTCTCACCACCACCACTAAACTCGTTTTATTTTATGTGATTAAGATATTTATTGAAATATTGGATCCATGACTTAGTAAAATTCTGATAATCTATCTACTCGAATTAAAATTATACTATTGATCTTGAAATTTTATGTCGTTATTGTGCTTGTAATTGTAGACCAAAGAGATATATATATATATATATATATATATATATATATATATATATATATGGAGTTGTAACAATAAGTGTGCAGATTACAATTTACAAATAATCATTTTTTTCATTAATGGTTATTAAAAAATATCTTCAATTATTTTAGTCACGCCATATTTAGATAAAAAAGTCACATACCATCTATGTATTTTTTTAAAAAGAATGTTGTCATTTTACACTCTAATAATGAATCAAATTTTTCTATTTATTTTTATCATGACTTGAAAGAATGAATATTTCTATTTTGAGTGAATATATTTTGAGATTATTTTAAAGTATATATATATATATATATATATATATATATATATATATATATATATATATATATATATATAAAGTTTGTTTAAATCATGATAAATTTATAAATATTTATATTGATTCCATCCGCCACTAACAGTTACACGGTGTTTATATGGTGCTGCATCTCTAAAGAAAATATACAGATGATACTCTAAAGAAAATATACAGATGATACGACAAAAGGAAAGGCCGACATGTGCTTGACTAGACACAAAAAAGACAGATAAAAATCTAACAGGGCATATTTGGTAACATAAAAAATAGAGAAATTTTATAATACACAAAGAGTAATTAATGACGTATGTATAGCAGATTACTCATCGGGTCCATTTTGAGGAGAGATATAGACACATAAAAAGAAAGAGAAAAACAGAGAGAAAATAAAAAAATTTGAGTGGACGTGGAAATCTTCTTATCACTTTTGATGGGTATAGATATAATTTTTTGCTTTTTTTATGCATCTATCTTGTATAGATATAATTTTTCTCTTTTTTTATGCATCTATCTATCTCTTTAAAATGAATCCAAAATATAACTACTGTTCATACCACTAGTTATTATTATTATTTTTTATGTATCTATATTTTTTTTAAAATAGATTTAAAAAATAACTATTATATATGTTACTGATTATTCTTTACGTATTATAAAAAATTTTCAAAAAACAAAGCCAGATTCTAAGATAATTGATGACCACGAAAAGACTATTACATCATGTTAGGTACGATAAGAAGCACTCAAAGGCTAAGTTGTCTTTATGAATAAATCCAATGTGGTTCACTGAACGAGGACGTAAAAGCATTAAAGTGATCAATTCCACTACACAGATAGGTGAGAAAGCGCAACAATAATTGCAATATTCCAAGCTCCGGGGACGACCATTTGTTTGTCAGGGGCGGACGCACCTTATGTCCAAAGGGGGCCCCGGCCTCCCCTCCCAATTTTTGTTCCTTCCTATATTAATATAGGACAAACCCAATCACTGCTAAACTCTTCGATTTGATCCAAACTGCCTCTCCTAGTCCCTACTAAACTCGTTCATTCTTTCCTTTTCCTTAATTCTTATTCCATTCAAAACATCGAAATTTTTTTTTATTATTAAAAATTTTTTATATTAATTTTTTATTTTTTAAATTCTCTTCTTTTTTTTTTCAATTTCAAACTTTAATTTGTTAATTATTTTTATTATTTAAAATTTATTACTTTAATTTGTCATTTTTTAAAAAAAATTCTCTCTTTTTTTTTCAATTTCAAAATTTAATTATATTGCGATTTGATCTCATTTTATTTTAGTTTTTTTTGTTAATTATTTTTATTATTTAAAATTTACTACTTTAATTTGTCTTTTTTAAAAAAATTCTCATTCAATTAATTTAAAAATATATTTAATGATAGTTTTTATTTATTTTTCTATATGTATGGATTTTGGAATAAATTTTTAGAAAATTATTATTATTTTTCTTTTGAAAAATAGATTTAGATTATTTTTAAATTATAATAGCATGGTAAATATATATAATTTGTCTAAAATACATTTTTAGATTAAAAGTGTATTTCAAATAATTTTTTCTCATTTTTTTATATTATTTAAAATTTATTACATTACTTTGTCATTTTGTTTTAAATTCTCTTTTTTTTTTCCAATTTCAAACTTTGATTATATTGTTATTTCGTCCCATTTTGTTTTAGCATTTTTTGTTAATTATTTTTATCATTTAAAATTTACTACTTTAATTTATCATTTTTTTAAAAAAATTTCATTCAATTAATTTAAAATTAAATTTACTAACAGTTTTGATTTATTTTTGTACATGTATGGATTTTGGAATAAATTTTTAGAACATTATTATTTTTTCTTTTGAAAACTAGATTTAGATAATTTTTAAATTATAGTGGCATGATTAATATATATAATTTTTCTAAAATATATTTTTATATTAAATGTGTGTTTCAAATAATTTTTTCTCTGTTTTTTAAGAAAAAAATCAAATTAATTAATTAATTATTGAAAGTCAAATGTGAAAAATAAAAAAGAAAATGGTTGGTCCGTTCATGAGGTCTATATTCAAGGACTAGCCATGCATAGCATAAAAATTAAAAAAAAAAAATTTAAGAAGGAGGAAAAAAAAAAGAATTCACATGTTTTAATAATTTTTTCTTTATATAATCAAAATTATTCGAAATCAAATTTGTAATAACTTTTATTTTAGCCTATTAACTTCAAATTTAGTCAATATATTCTTTGCAAGTTAACTTTTTATAGTATTTTTTGTTTTAGATCGAAAACTCTAAACTCGCTTAGTATAGTTATGATGAATGAAAAAATATTAAATAATTTTTTTAAAAAAATCAACTCGTGCAATTACTACTACACTTAGCATTTACTATTTATTTATTTATTTATGAATATTTTAAAATTAACATATTTTAAATTAAATAATTAAAATAATATTTTGGATTAACCACTCAATGATTCAAATTAATATAGTTTTTTATTTTAATATTATTCATTATCTTGTAAATAAATATATATAAAATAAATTCACATTATTTAAAAAACCAATATTCTCATCAACATTAAATAAAAAAATATTTGTTCAATTATATGTAAGCTTTTAATAATTATTATTTATTTTTTTAACACAATCTTATGAAATACTAAAGCTTTTTTTAAAAAAAAATTTTAATTTTCTTTTTAGTTAATAATCCATGAATTAATAAGGATGAATCCTTTTCTAAAGAAAAAATTATAAAAAACACAAATAAGAAATAATTAAATATAAATTTTTTTATTAAATAATTTTTTATAACTTTGATTTTATATAATTTTAGAAATTTATATCATAAAATTGATTATCAAATTAGAAAAATTTTTTAAATAATTTTATATATTTTATCTAATTTGTAACTACGTTTAAGGTAAAAATACTAATCAAAAAAATTATTACTCTTCGGCGGAAAGATTTTCCTGTAGACATAGCAGCCTCGCACCATCTCCCACCGCCCAATCTAGGAATAAAAAAAATCAAACTATTTTAATGTTTCAATCTAAACTGAAGCACCGACCCTTAACTGCAAGGCTGCTTCCCAAGGCATTGATGCCCAATAAGCAACTGACAAATATCACTTCAGGTTTAAAGAACTAATATTAAATCATAACAACCAGATATTCAACTTGACACGTGTCCATCTCACAACAATCCTCCAACCTTGTCTTAGATCTTGACACCTTAGAACCCATCCATGTCAATAAATAGTGAACAAGAAATTTTCATTTCTCCATCGCATTTTTTCCTCCACTCTGATCATCGAAAACTTTAGCAATGGAATCAACTATTCTTTGCTCCTCACCACTTCCTTCTTTCCCATTTCCTCCCACCAAACCACATCCCCAAAAGCTTAAACTTCGACATGGTAAAACGTCAAGTGGCACGGTTGTTCTTGCTACTAGAAGAGAGAACTCCGGAGATTGGAGACATGGAGAATCAGTGGTTGTAGATGAAAGCATGATTGTGCTAAGGAAACGCATCCATGAAATGAAAATGGTAGAGAGAAATTATGAGCCGCCAGAAGAGTGGATGGAATGGGAGAAGCAGTGCTATACATCCTATGATGAGTTTGTCTGTAAATTTGTGGGGGTATTGCAATTGCATTTGATGAACACAAGGCCTAGTTTAGCTCTTGGGATGTTATTGCTAATCACAATGAGTGTCCCTGTATCAATGGCCGTGATTGCCCAACAATTGATGGAGGCAACATATGGAGTTTTCTCGACCGTTCATCTGGGTTGATTTCGTGTTTAGTTAGCATCCTGCAGCTCTGTAGAATGTAAAATTTTTCTGAGAGTAGCTTTGTTGTCCCCAGGATGTATATTTATGCAGATGGAAACGTAAATATGCATATATTTTATCATGCAATTAGTTTAGTTTTATTTTTCATTTCTTGGTTGGAAGGGGCCAAATTGTCTTTCACTGATTTTGATTTTTTTTTTATTTTTTATTTTTACTTTATTCAAAAAAGTGGACCCAATGATAATATGGGCTTCAGGCCCAATTTATGGAGCAACCCTAAAATAAACCTAATTTGGCGGACTATATAAGGAAGAAGGGGTTTTGGAAAACAAGACCCCACCATCCCAAGCCCAAGTGTCATGAAGAACATAAATTATAGCACTAACAAAAAGTAATTCCATAGATTCAAATAAATTAACACCATGATAACACTAAAAAAGACATTGCTAGTAATTCAACAAGAAGTTGTAATGAATTAACTTCCGTTGTTAAAGACAAAAATGGTCAAAATACCTTTTTTTTTATCTTTTTCTTATGTACTAAACTATAAATTAAAGTTTGTGTGCTCTGCCAATTTGATTGTCATTATAAATTTTTGAACAGAGATACGTACATCATCAGCCCAAATATGTAATGGTACTTAAATAATATCATAACCACAAAATTAATGTATATATATATATTCCTGATGACACATAATCTTCCACTTCTTACATAATAGAACCAGCAAGATTTCTTTTCTTTTATCAGAATCAAATTCACCCAAAGATTATCACCAGTACTAAGTTTGCTTTATATATATATATATATAGTCCATAACTTAATGTAGTAGCCAAGTACATGGTTGAGATAAACAAGATTAAGATAGTTCAAATATATATGAAATAAGGTGGATCTCTTCATGTGCATGAAGCTTCATTTTAACTCCCATTTTATTCGACTATTTATATCAATATAATTGCTCCTCTGCAAATTATTGATCCTTCAAGCACAATCCTCACTTGATACTGCAACACAATGTCAATGAAAAAAGAAAAAACTATCAGATCAAAATTGTTAGCACAATATATGTATGTTTTATGTGAATCTACAAAGATGGAAATAATATGCAAGTGTTTGGTGGCCCAGATTAATAAAACCTTTTGCAGTCAAGGGAGGGGCTAATTTTGTAGGGAATGTTTACACCGCACTTGGCTGGTATCCCAGCTACGAGACCATAGTTGATTCCAGGGACGCTGCCGGCAAGTGATTTTATGCAGCCACAAGACTGCTGCCGGTCAGGTGTGGTCTTCGCAGCAGAATTCAATGCCCTGACCCCATTGCAACAGGATGCAGTCAAAGCTCCACCACCTTTCGCGTAGCTTATGCATGACGACAAGTCGGTGAAGACCTGAGCACAGGATACGGCTGCATGAGCTAGAGGTGCACCCAACACCATGCACATGACCAAAACACAAACCAGCTTATTGGGGGCCATGGAGCTAGCCATAGAGAATGATTTTAGCAAATTAATTAAGGGCACTTGGTGAAATCAAAAGTATATCAGGAAGCTGAATGGTTATGAATAGCTAGCTAGGGGCATAGTGTTTATATAGGACAGCTAGTGCAACAACGAAGTCGTTTAGTAGTTGGCTTCATTCAATGCTTGGCTGTTTTCTTTCCATTTTAGAATCAAGCACACTTTATTTAGGATAGCATTCTGCTGTTTGTGTGTCGCATCTTTTTCAAAGAACGCAACTCCAGAAAGCAAAGAATTAATTGCCTAGCATTAATTTGTACTGGAGCTTATGTTCATCGATCGATCGATTGCCTCAATTATTGACCCAGAATCTAATTGAGCAAGCTAAAAGCATTTGCAACAATCTATGCAACCTGAGTTTAACAAACACGTCTTCGATAATTGATTTTTCATCATACTATTGAAATAGTAGGATAACGTTCTGCTTTTTTTCCTTCAGATACTGGTGTAACGTATCTATATATATTGAGTATACTTGCTATTCTTTGTGCATGCATATGCAAATTAGGATTGTGTATGAACTACGAATTCTGAAAGTTATTGCTTCAAGGCAACTCCCTAAACCTTTTTTTTTTTTTTCTTTTTTGCATATTAACTTTGAAATGTTTTTACCCCTCCAATTTTATTACTTTTAGGTTTAACACCTTTTTTTTTTTTTTCAACCGCTATATGATTGAAATTATGTTAATTACACACACAAAAAAAATAATAATAACTTTGGATTTTGTAGGCCTAGGTTAAAAAAAAAAAAGTATTTTTTTTTTTAAGCCAATAGAAATTTGCATATTATTTTGGCTAAATCATATGGGATTCTTTTGAACTTTTGATCAAACTTAAATTAGTTCCTAGGTTGAAAGATTAAATTCATAATTTTCTAGAATAGTCCTTCTGCCAAGAATTCCATCATGGATCCATTAATCTATCACTAAAAACAATAAGAAAATTAAATTAAATTAAAGTTAATCAAGTCTATCTTAAAAAGAAAACAGAAGGAAAAAAATAGAAAGATAAAAACAAATCAGAGATAGATGGTTGGTTCTTCATTTTCTACTTTAAGGATTCTTGACTCCCCTTTTCATCCACCATTTCTTTCAAGTATTTTGATTTCTTAAATTCTTATTCTTAAAAAACCACTCAATTTATTATCGGAGTATATATATTTATCTATTCTTATATAATACTTAAAGCCTTTCATTTATCTTTAAGTTTCAATTGTATTTCATCGGTCTTTGAAATTTTTTGAGATGCTTAATCTGTCATTCTAATCAATTCTTTTGACCATAGATAATATTTTTAATCAAAATATTATTTATTAAAAAAAAATACTTAAAGTCACATGACCATGTTTTTTTTTTTCAATCATATGTATTTCGATCAAAAAAATTTATATGGTTGAAATATTGACATGAATGACAAATTAAATATTTTTAAAAAAATTCAACGATAGATAAAATGTAATTAAAAATTTAGGGATAGACATAAATTATTTTAGGTATAATATAGGAACAAATAGATATATTTATCTTCATTATTCTATAAAACTATTTTCCAAACTCAATCTATTTGAATCACATATTTTAAAAATTTATTTTTAGAATATTCGATACGATATATTGAAGAATCCTTCTTAATAAAAAAATATATAAAATTGTAAAATATATGAAAACTAGTCTAGAGAAACCTTTATTATTCAATTAAAAAAAAATGCTAATTACTTCCAAGTTCCAGGAACTCGGTAACCATTTCTATTTCATTTTAACAAAATTCTGACCCAGCAAATAAGCTTCTTCTTTAGGAAATTTCGTATGAAAGAAGCTCATCATAAATGACTGGGCACGTCCACATCGGACATACAGGGTACACGTGGCATACTGAAACTATCATTATCATGTGTCCTTCTCATGTCCTTATCAGGCATGTTATCATTGCCAAAGAAATCATGACATACCAAGAATTCTTATGTACTTCCTATATTCTTATGTACTAGTTTACATTTAATATTTATATCTACTTTTATCATCTATTTATTTTGGTTTAATTGTTTTCACAAAAATATGGAAGCAATCCCCTTATTATTTTAATTTCCAACACTTCCTCTCCAGTCATTTTCTTATCCCAAACAAATCAAGGTGTAACTCCGAAACGTATTACGTGAAAGTTGACGACCAGGCGAGTTATTAGTAAAAATTATAATATTTTATTACATTTAAACTTTATTTTTAATTTAATCTCATTTATCATTAAATATATAAATTAAAATATATTATTAATAATATAACACCATCGTTACCGCAATTTATTATTAAATTTCTTAAAATATCATTTAGTTCTAAAAAAAAAATAATAACAATTGAAGAAAAAGATTATAGGAAAATGAATTCACTATAAAATAAAGTGAATATAAGAGATAACAACTTCAAATAATCTCTCAATATCTATAAAAATACTTGTACACAAACTAATGAACAATCAAACATATTTATAGGCTTCAAGATTGAAAAAAAAATAAAAGAGATTATGAACCATTAAAAGATGCATAAATAATTGAATAAATTGTATAATCCTTTCAATTTCTCATATTAAATGGTGAATTGAATCACATAAATAGTGAAAATATGAAATGGTTATCGACATTTATTATTTCATAACATTCCTACTTGAATGTCCATCGTATAAGGAATGTGTCTCATTAAAACCTTATTATGAAAAAGCCCAGTGGGATAAAATCCTAATGAAGGAAAAAGAATACAATAATCCTTATACACATTAATATCAATGTTGGGCTCCCCTGTTGAAAACATCATTTAAAATCTTTAAAACGATACATCTCGGTCTTATGAACCATTTTCTCAAAAGTTATGTTAAGTAATGTCTTAGTGAATAAGTCTCGTCGGATTGCCACTTTGATGCATTCTTTCTTTAATTAAATTATGCAAGCAATATTATCTTTATATAATATTATTGGAACTTTTCTACTAGTAGATAAACTGCATATCTCTCGGATATGATTGATCGTTTATCTTATTCAAACATATTTTTGACTTGCCTCATAAATTGGTATTTCTATATAATTTGAATATGTAGTAGTTATAGTTTGCTTCATAGAACGTTATGATATTGCTCTATCATCATACATAAATATATAACCTATTTGTGATCGAATTTTGTATGGATCGGATAAATAGCTTGCATCTACATAACCAATTAAACCTAACTTTGATTTATTTAAGTAAAATAAATATCATATCAATTTTTCCTTGAACGTAATGGAGGAAATGCTTAATTTCATTCTAATATCTTCGTATTAGAGCAAAACTATGACTTGCTAAAAAATTTACAGAAAAGACAATATCAAGTTGAGTATTATTAAAAAGATATATCAACGTACCGAGTGGCACTAAGATATGATACTTCGGGACCAAATAGTTTTTCATTCTCTTCTCGAGGTCGAAAATGGTCTTTTTAAATATCAAGTGAATGA